TTCGTTGATGTATAATGAACTCATTTGTTCATTTTGCTCGTACGTGACAGCGAAGATATTCAAAACGAACGCAATTCATCCACACTGGGTTGAAGCGCTACTGCTTGCGTGTGATGGTAAACGATAAAAAAAACAGACACTGGTGCTAATGGGGTGCTTACACTTAGGCTAGTTCACTAGCGCTAATGAGCATGAGAGGCACCAGCATGATATAAACAGTTTCTAGCAGTTGATTTCCACTCGCGCATCAATTGCAGGCGCTTCTGAAATTGCATGCTGGTGATGAGAAGCTGGTACCCGACAGTAGTGAACAAAATGTCAGAAGAGTAAGACCTACCTGATCCGAGTTTATGAGCAACATCCATGTTTGTGGGGCTTTTCCAATCCCGACTACAAAATAAAACATCCAAGGTCTATCAGAACCCACACTGACCGAACAGTTTGCTTTCGTTTTCTGGATTGTGTATTCGTAGAATTGCAAATTTCTTCATCTAACAAGCAGCACACAACATCGTACGCACAATCATATAGTATTTCAGCAATTTCTTTTAAAATTAGGCAATTAACCGGTCACGAGACGAACTGATCAACAGAAAATCCTCTTTTGACTTCGTTTGCATAATGAACATTATCAGCACCCGCTCACCAGCGTATTAGCATAATGTCATCACTTTTTATCATGATGGTGGGCGTTTTTGCTAGCAGCGAACTCATTAGCGCTAGTGAACTAGCATAAGTGTAAACACCCCATAAGTGTGCTGTTGCGTTTTTCTTTGTTGCCCGCTATAACCTCTACCGTGCTGATCTGTTTTTCTGTTCCTGAACGACGTGTTCTTCCTCTCTCGCGACCGTGCAAAAACTATTTCATTTTGGGCGACGCAGTTGAATGTCAAAATACCAGAAAACAAATTCCCTGTTGTAGAAATTCTTGCGTTTCTATACTTTCACCCGACCAATCAGGAGCTGGTTCGCGTTTGACAGAAAATTGGTTCATAAAAGACACATTCGATCATGCCGTGTAAATCATATCTAGTTATTAGTGGTTGGAATCGCTGGTGGAGGATGTGGGCGGGACGAGGGTCATGCTTGTCGGTTTCTCGGTGAATATCATGAAGATTGATTCGGGCCTGTTTGCCATGTGCAGAATGTATACATTTTGTTTATGTTGGACGAGTTCCGGGTCGTTTTGTGCCATTTTTGAATCAAGTGCAATTTGAATTAATAATGTATGAATCCGCAGCATTGGAAAACGATCATCGTTGGATTTGGTGCATTTGTTCTAGTTGAAAAACGTCCTTTATGTATTTATTATCAATGTTCTTGATATTTTGATTTTGTGAGAATTTGTGATTGGCCTTGTCGTCGCTGATATAAAGAGCTCGGTGGGTTCAATCTCAAACTCCTTCACATAATGGAGCCTTAGTGTGAATCGCATTTATTCTTGATATGAGATAAAGCGTATTGAAATTTGGTTGGAGGAACGAGTACGGAAAAACAATCGTAATATTTGAGTTTTTGGGAAAGATGCGTTGATTGGAAATCTATAACAAATCCTTCTCAAGAGTATCTGTTATTGTAGTGATAGCAAGTTGAACGGGAAATTGCTCGTAATTGTTTTGTATAAGGAGCAGCTCGGTGGTCTTATGGCGACCGATTTTGCTCAATGAGTAGAAAATCATGGGTTCAATCCCAAGCTCCTTCCATTAAAGAGTTATTGTTTAAATCGGTTTACTTTCATAATATGATGTAAAATGTAAAGAAATTCGGTTCAAGGGTCGGGTACGTGAAGAAGTAATATTTGAGTTTAAGGACAGACGTGTAGACTGTATATCCAATAATGGAGATTATCCATCAACCTCGAAAACTTTTACTATCGCGTATTTCAGTCGTTCGTTACATACCAAGCGAAAACGTAGTCATATTTTGTAGTCCATTTAGATGGATTTTTTTTTCTTACTGAACAGTACTCGCGGGTGTTCTTTCACTGACAGATCGTTTCGCGGAACTGTCCTTCCGGTTTCTTATCCGTTGTGAAGTCATGAACCCATTGGTAATAGAAAACTTTGAGAAGCTGCTCGACAGAAATCCTCAAACAAGATTAATGAGTCTCTATTACGAGTACATGACGCTGGAGATTGGCCCTTCTTCATTCAATTCCTCTCGTGTTTGCCTCCAAGACTTTTATAGTTCCTCTGTAAATTTTGATCTGACCATGTTGCAAGAAATCCGTGGAATACCAGATCACCATCGGTCGATGGTTGTTCCCTTAATTTTTGCAAACAAGTACCAACATGTTTTTAACAATAAGAGTTTTTTCACAGATGGGTCAACCATAAACGCTTCCACTGGATTTGGAGTATTCAACGAATTTCATAGCGCCTCATATCAACTGCAAAAACCCTGTTCCGTATACGTTGCGGAACTAGCAGCCATATTTCTCAATTACCCGTCAGCACGTCCTCACCAAATGGCAACAAAAATGGAATGAGAGTGATCTAGGAAGATGGTGAGATTCTATTCTCTCACAGGTGTCGAACAAGCCATGGTCCAAAGGATTGGACATGAGCCGTGACTTTATGCGTGTCATATCAAGGCTCATGTCCAATCACTACTCGTTCGACTCGCATTTCTTCCGAATCGGGCTCGCAGGCAGCAATTTGTGCGCTTGTGGTAGTGGCTATCACGATATCGACCACGTGCTTTGGTCATGCACCGTCCATTGTGTTGCTAGATCTGAGTTATCCGCATCCCTCAGGGCCCGAGGAAAACAACCCATGCGGCCCGTTAGAGACATCTTGGCGAGCCGAGATCTCGACTATTGCAATTTAATTTATGTGTTTTTAAAACGGATAGATCTGAGGATTTAGTAGTTAGTGTCATCTTGTGTTCCCCCAAGTTGTTAGCTGCCCATCGGTGTACCCCCATGTTTGTCTTTTTCATCAGTTGGTCGCTTAGTTCGAGATCAAGAGCACATTGCTCTCCAAACCTTGTGTTCGCAATCCCTACCCTGCCATCCATTTGTTACCATTTGTTACCCCTAACCTCGAGATAGCCGCGAGTAATCGGCCCCCGCTTTACTAACGTTAGTTTTAAGAAATTTTGTAACCTAAACAATGAATATCGGCTCCGCAAAGCTACGGCAAATGAGCCTGGAAAAATAAACGCATTAAAAAAAAAAGAAGGGGTTGAAGTACATGAAGAAGTAATATTTGAGTTTTAGGACAGACGTGTAGACTGTATATCCAATAATGGAGATTATCCATCAAACTCGAAAACTTTTACTATCGCTTATTTCAGTCGTTCGTTACATACCAAGCGAAAACGTAGTCATATTTTGTAGTCCATTGTTTTTGCTTACTGAACAGAACACCTTGGATGTAATCCCAAGCTCTCCGTCATGACCCTTAAAATACAAAATCACTAAGCAAAATTAATATTTTCTTTCGATAATCGGCTATCGAGAGCTTAAACAAAATAAACTTTGGTTGCATCGCCAACTTGAGAGGTGAATCGTTACCGAAGACCCTACCCGAACCTCCAACTCCGTAGCACTTATGAGGGTGTCGCTAAGTCGGTGGCCCCTCGTTAAATAAGTACTACAAGAACATCTCCTTAGCTATGGAAAAGATGGGCGTGGCCGGGAATAGCGAAATTCATGATTCTGGTATTCTCATTAAGATTGGAATCAATGTTTACTCCCCAGCATTATTCCTGAAAGTAGTCTGACTGAGAGTTTCAAAAGAGTCGTGAGTGTCGCTAGTATCCAATCTACGAAGTATCCATGACAGATACGTATTTTGACAACAATGTACAGTCTTCATAAGTGTCATTCCCACTAAAAACTTATCAAAAACCTATCCCCCTTAAGTACTCATCCCGTAGGTGAAATTGTCAAGATCACAGGTAAAGAAATGAAACTAAAATGTTTAGAACCTACCTAACTAATAATAACCAAAGGTTTTAGTAAAGTAAAGGAGAAAAATCTATTCAAATCGCTAATAATCGTATCTGTCATCGATACCAAAATTATTTCAGTGGAATTAGGTACCAAAAAAGATAAAAATATTTTTACGGCACAAAATTCAGTCAACGAACATCAGTTACGAATTCGTGTTAACTAATACTGATACTAACACGTGTCGATTTTTTGGTTGAATTAAAACATATGAAACCCCTTTATCAAGAGTTTCACAGCACTCGTTCGCATGGCCATTCCCTGCAGCAATGTGAAGTAGAGTTACATCATGGATTTTCCGAGAGCGAGAATCAAGAATTGAACTATTTCCACATTTCAAGAACAACATGTGAAAAGGGCATACAAGCTTTTTGTAAACAAACCATCTTATGCCATTTTTTCGCCACTCATATGACACCAACGCAAACCATCATCATCATCGGATAGGGGAATCTTTACCCTTCCCGACGATGTTGTTGGTTTGCGTGGACGACCCTCGGTTGTCGAGAGAAGGGCCTACAAAGGTTTGTTTACAAAAAGCTTGTATGCCCTTTTCACATGTGGCTCTTGATTTTCGTTTCAGTATGCATGATGGAGAGCAGTTTATTTTTTAATCATCCAGCTAAAATGTGGACGGTAAGTTTTCTCAATAATCAGTTCAACAACACTTTGATGGCCGTTTTTCTTAGCAATTTGAAGTGGAGTTTCACCTTTGATTGACCGAGAGGAAGTGTTCATACCGCGATGAATCAAGAATTGAACTATTTCCATATTTTCGTTATGGTATGCATGATGGAGGACAGTCTATCTAGCATCGTCAACTTCTCTTTCAACAGTTCAACAATACTTTGATGGCCGTTTTTCTTAGCAATGTGAAGTGGAGTTTCACCTTTGATTGACCGAGAGGAAATGTTCATACCGCGATCAATAAATAATTGAACTAGTTCTACATTTCCGTTTTTGCATGCATAATGAAGTGCATTTAATTTATTATCGTTCATCTCATTTGGGTCCGCATTTTTCGCTATCAATAGTTTCACAACGCTCAGATGGCCGTTCCACGCAGCAATGTGAAGTGGAGTTGCACCTTCGATTGACCGAGAGAAAGTGTTCATACCGCGATCAATCAAGAATTGAACTAGTTCTACATTTCCGTTTCTGCATGCATAATGAAGTGCAGTCCATTTATAATCGTCCATCTCATTTGGGTCCACATTATTCGCTATCAATAGTTTAACAATATTCAGATGGCCGTAACCTGCAGCAATGTGAAGTGGAGTTGCACCTTCGATTGACCGAGAGAAAGTGTTCATACCGCGATCAATCAAGAATTGAACTAGTTCTACATTTCCGTTTCTGCATGCATAATGAAGTGCAGTCCATTTATAATCGTCCATCTCATTTGGGTCCACATTATTCGCTATCAATAGTTTAATAATATTCAGATGGCCGTTCTTCGCAGCAATGTGAAGTGGAGTTGCACCGTCGATTGTCCGAGAGGAAGTGTTCATACGGCGATCAATAAAGAATTGAACTATTTCTGCATTTCCGTTTTTGCATGCATAATGAAGTGCAGTCCATTTATAATCGTCCATCTCATTTGGGTCCGCATTATTTGCTATCAACAGATTAACAATATTCAGATGGCCGTTCATCGCAGCAATGTGAAGTGGAGTTGCACCTTTGATTGACCGCGAGGAAGTGTTCAAACCGCGATCAATAAAGAATTGAACTATTTCTACATTTCCGTTTTTGCATGCATAATGAAGTGCAGTCCATTTATTATCGTCCATCTCATTTGGGTCCGCATTATTTGCTATCAACAGATTAACAATATTCAGATGGCCGTTCATCGTAGCAATGTGAAGTGGAGTTTCACCTTTGATTGACCGCGAGGAAGTGTTCAAACCGCGATCAATAAAGAATTGAACTAGTTCTACATTTCCGTTTCTGCATGCATAACGAAGTGCAGTCCATTTATAATCGTCCATCTCATTTGGGTCCACATTATTCGCTATCAATAGTTTAATAATATTCAGATGGCCGTTCATCGCAGCAATGTGAAGTGGAGTTGCACCGTTGATTGACCGAGAGGAAGTGTTCATACCGCGATCAAGAAAGAATTGAACTAGTTCTACATTTCCGTTTTGGCATGCATAATGAAGTGCAGTCCATTTGTATTCGTCCATCTCATTTGGGTCCGCATTTTTCTCTATCAATAGTTTCACAACGCTCAGATGGCCATTCTCAACGGCAGAATGCAGCGCAGTGCTTTTATCGAGATTTGCATTGTAATCAATTAGAAAATTACATATTTCTAAATATCCGCATTTCGCAGATACTTTTAACATATCGTTTAGTAAATTAGTGGAGAACTCTTTAATTTTTAGGGATGAAACCAATTTCAGACAACCACTCTCGCATACCCACAAAGGTACGTTCTTGTTTAGTCTGTTCAAATGGTTTAAAGTTTCGGAGCAGTTTTCATTTTCTCCAAGCTTGATCAGTGTCAGTTTCCTAATAACATCGTGTTGAGATAGAACGTTGATCAATAAGTTTGGTTCCAACTTGGAAATGTTATCACTTAAATATGTTGCTACGAAGTATTCACCAAATGATAAATGGCAGAACTGAACATTATTGTTGACTACTTTCACCAAAATAGATTTTTCTGCATCCTGCTCACAACGGCTTTTGAATGAGTCATATTTTTTCTTAAAATACGGCACCGTGAATAAATCCATGAGCATTTCAATGTCTAGCAGCTTTATCGCTAGCAGTTGATGTTCCAAAATGTACGTGTCAATTATTGAATTAAATTCAGCATCGTTGATATCAACCGTGAACTTAAATTTTTCTACAAATTTCTTGTGAAAACATTTCTTGGCAAACTGCTCTAACAGTTGCACAATATTCAATGTGTCTTCTGACCAATCAAACGGTTTCATATTGTCGGAATTTGCTGCTGAAATAAATTGTTCGAATTTGTCAGAGTAAATTTCAGCGAGCATTCGCATCATCAGAGGCAAACCGGAAATTTCACTCAAGTTGGATAAAATGCTGGAATGATATTTTTTTAAAAGAAGTTCCGAAAAGTTTTCAACATCTTTCTCATCAACACTGTCCTTCATCCATATTTTCTTCAAGTACTGGATCTGATCCTCATGCCGAAAAGGGACTAGGGATATTAGCTTCACATCGAACTTCCTTTGCAATAATTCCTGCACGTGGAGTCTCGAGCTGATTATGAACTGAATACTCTTTCTAGAGCTGAGCAGTTCAAGTATACTAATTACTTTCTCGGTGTATTTGGAATGTATTTCGTCAAATGCATCCAATGCTAAAATAATGGAATATCCTTCGTCATTTCGCCTTTCCGGGGCATTAAGGATGAGATTACAGTTATTCTCTGAAAGAGCAGCGCTGAGAATTCCCCGGACATCGTCTAAGTTTGATACTTTTTCAATTTTGTTTAGTGCATTACAAAGCGTGCTTAAATACACCAAGAATACTGCAGAGTGGCTTTGTTTTTGAACCTGAAATGCCAAAAACTGCAGTAAAATGGTTTTTCCCATACCGGGGTCTGCTACAAGTAAAATGTGTTGCTGGTATTTGAATTCTCCTCGAAGCTCTTCAACTAATATAGTATCACTTATCTTTCGAACTATTGTGCTAGTCCTATCCTTATCTGTTGCCTTGGTTAATAATTTACCGGTTGGTTCTAATGCCGTCTCTTCGTACTTGATATGGCGGTTAATATACGTAAATTGCCATTCTTCCACCTCTGCCATTACGCGCTTTATGACACCCGTCTCCATTCCACGCTTTAATTGTCCAAAGCATTGTTCGATACCTTGTTTGGCCAAAAAACGCTTCCTAGTTTTGTTATCAGGTTCGTTGCATTTTACAAAATAATCTTTCAGGTCGATATACACCTGCTCGAAGTCCTTTTCCCCCAGCTTACCGAGAATGTCCGGTTGAATCCACGTCTTCATCCAAGCCAGTAGTTCACCAACGATGATAGGTTGCAAATCGTTCGGTTGACCCACCGATAGAGTCAAATCGCGAAAGAAGCCACGAATGTCATCCTCACCAACGAATGGTGGCAAAAGTTTGTTCCTTGAGTCTTTCGCCATGAAATTATTGTTGACGGTTACTTCTTTCTTCATATCAACCTGATCGCTTTGCAACATGGTGTATAGCTTGGCAACATTGGGATTTGTATGTTCAGCATTGAAGTTGCTTGCAAAGCGACACTTTTTCCGGTCTATGATCATAACGTCTTTCAATGGAGTGCAATAGTGAGTTAAAATTGGGCTATCCGTTCCGCTGTGGAAGAACTCTTTGATCGCATCTTTAATCGCAATGATATCTTTGTTGATGTAATTGAGCACCTCTTTGATAGCCTTCTCGTATGGAACAAGTTCCAGGTTTTTGGCACTTGATCCAGAAAAACGTAAGATTTCATTTACTTCTCGTTCTTCGATCTTCACCCACTCGTTATCGGTCTGTTTCAGATCCTTATTGGTGAAGATGTAAAACATCTTCTTGAACGCCGTTAGTTCCAATCTTCCAGTCACAGTCATGTAGGATTTGGCATACTTGCACAAATCAAAGTCCCCGGAGTGTTTGGCACTATTTCCAGTTGGAAACAGGGCATCCAGATCGATATTTTTAACCTTTTCATCCTTGGTATCGGCGTGTTTTGCTTGAATTAAGTGGATCACCTTGTTTGTATCGTCAATCAACACAACATCGTCAAACTTGTCGGCCATCTTCATTTCATACGCCATCCTTGTAGTGGAACTTAATTCCCGCGTACGCAGCAACAGTACGAGGGCAACGTCTGTTTGGAATTTTTCTCCGTGGCCACCCGACTTAATTTCACTTTCATACGATTGTTGATCCATTTTGAACCACCTGAAAAAAACAGGATAAATATTTCATCAATAAGCTATGAAGGTCACCCGTAACAAAATTATCTTGTAAGAACAATATTAGATATAGTAACAGAATTTAAATTAACGCTTCGAACAGGGTGGGTAAAAAACTTTACGCTGACTACGAAGCCTCCGGAAAACGTGTTACGGAAAGTTTCCAATGACTTTGTTTGAATTTCTTGACAAATTTCAAAAATAGTGGTACCACAAGATTTTCTACACGGTAAGAAAAAAGTACCAAAATTGAGTTTCTTTCACTCAACGGCCGGCTTCAGTGGGGCTAGGCAAAATTAGGTTAATAAATAGGTAAACTTTACCCAACGTTGGAATAATTCATAATTTAATAATTTTCCATTCTTTATATGACAACGAATATATGACAACCAAAGTTAAATTGCTTTTTTTTTTTTTTTTTTTATTAATTACTTTATTTGTACAGGCTCAATCGAATAAACTTTACAGAGCCGAGTTATCATTTTTGTTATACATTATTGATTTCTTATATTTAAAGTTAAAGGAGCTGGACCGGATACTCGCGGTTGTCTCGAGGTTAGTGGGGGGGATTCACAATTTTTTTTGGATGGGAAAAGGGAGAGGGAGGTTTGAAATGTGGTTTACGATACAAATATTTAATTAATCCTAAAACATGAACTAATTTCTATTCATCTTGAAAACAAACATAAAAAAAAACCCACACGTACAAAATACAAACTAAACACAAGGTTAATAAAACTTACAATCTATGGTTAATATTCTTAAAGTAAACATATATGAGTTTCATAAACTCCAGATCGCGTCTAGCCAAAATATCCCGAACTGGAACATTAGGTTGTCTACCTCGAGCCCGAAGGGAATCGTACAGTTTAGATCTGACTCCGCGATGCTCAGCACAAGACCAAATAATGTGATCTGCGTCCTGGTAACCTTGTCCACATTCACAGAGACTGCTGTCCTTCAGCCCAACACGGAACAAGTGAGCGTTTAACGAATAGTGATTGGACATGAGGCGAGACATCATACGAATGAAGTCTCGACCCACATCCAACCCCTTGAACCAAGAACTCTTCGACACCTTAGGGATGATCGAGAATAGCCATCGTCCCAAACTTCCTTCACTCCACTTATTCTGCCAGCTGACGAGTGACTGTTGACGATAAATGAAGAAAAATTCATCGTAGGCGATTTATCGATCGTAAATATCGCCTTCCATAGCGCCCACCTGAGCAAGTGAGTCAGCCATCTCATTGCCCGGAATCGAGCAATGAGATGGGACCCATGCAAAGGTGATGACAAAAGATCTTAAAGATAAAGCACTTAAAAGCTCTCGTATTTTCATGAGAAAATACGAGGAGTGCTTTACCGGCCTCATGGATCGAATAGCCTCGACAGAACTGAGACTATCCGTAAAAATAAAACAATGATCTGGTGCAAGTGAGGCGATCGTTTCTAGCGTATAATGTATTGCCGCCAGCTCAGCAACATATACGGAACAAGGAGCTTGAAGCATTCGAGAGGCGCTATGAAATTCGTTAAAAATACCAAAACCAGCGGACGACTCTATTAGTGATCCATCTGTGAAGAACGATCTTGCGGAATCAACTTGGCCAAACTTTGCAGCGTAAATTGACGGAAAAATCATGGAACGATGATGTTCTGGTATCCCACGAATCTCCCGCGTCATAGATAAATCAAAACTAACTGAATTGCCGAAGTCGGAGAAGACTACACGATAGGGATTATGCTGCGAAGGGCTGACATCCTGTGTTATGTACACGTAGTACAATGACATAAAACGAGTTTGAGGGTTCAGCTCAAGAAGCTTTTCAAAGTTTTCGATTACCAGTGGGTTCATAACTTCGCAACGGGTGAGGAGCCTGAGGGACAATTCCGAGAACCGATCCGATAGTGGCAACATGCCCGCCAACACTTCGAGACTCATCGTATGAGTCGAGTGCATGCATCCTAACGCGATACGAAGACAACGATACTGGATACGTTCCAGTTTGATGATGTGAGTTTTAGCCGCCGACTGGAAACAAAAACTACCGTATTCTAAAACCGATAAAATCGTTGTCCGGTACAACGTTAGAAGATCTTGCGGATGAGATCCCCACCACGTTCCGGTAATTGTTCGGAGAAAATTGATCCTTTGTTGGCATTTTCGTCTCAGATACTCAATGTGGGATCTCCAGGTGCATTTTGAATCGAACCAGACCCCAAGATATTTGAAGGACATAGAATGAGTGATCGGTTTACCCAAAAGTTGAAGCTTTGGTTGTGCTGGGCTATGCTTCCTAGAAAAAACGACCAACTCAGTTTTCTCCGTGGAGAATTCGATACCTAGCTGAATAGCCCAAGTAGACAAATTGTCCAAGGTATCCTGTAAGGGTCCTTGCAGGTCGACCCCTTTGGGCCCTGTCATAGACACTACGCCGTCATCTGCAAGTTGTCTCAACGTGCAATTGTCACTTAGACAATTGTCAATTTCTCTGACGTAGAAATTATACAAAAGGGGGCTTAAACATGAGCCCTGGGGGAGACCCATGTAACTAAATCGAGAAGCTGTAGAGTTTCCATGAGAAAAGCTCATATGTTTCTCTGACAGCAAATTGTACAAAAAGTTATTTATTAATGGAGAAAGGCCACAAGCGTGGAGTTTGTCTGAAAGGACTTCAACGGATACTGAATCAAAAGCCCCCCTGATATCCAAGAATACAGAAGCCATTTGCTCTTTTTTAGCAAAAGCCAACTGAATTTCTGTGGAAAGCAACGCGAGACAGTCGTTCGTTCCCTTGCCCCTACGGAATCCAAATTGAGTATCTGAGAGTAGGTGGTTCGTCTCAACCCATTTGTCCAAGCGAAAAAGGATCATTTTCTCCAACAATTTTCGAATGCACGATAACATTGCGATGGGACGATACGAGTTATGATCTGAAGCGGGTTTTCCAGGCTTTTTAATGGCTATAACTCTCACTTGCCTCCAATCATTCGGAACAATATTGAGCTCCAGGAACTGACAAAACAAGTTCAACATGCGCCTCTTAGCGACGTCTGGGAGGTTCTTCAACAAGTTGAACTTGATTCTATCAGCCCCCGGAGCCGAATTGCCACACGAAAGGAGCGCGAGTGAGAGTTCCAGCATTGAAAAAGGCTGGCTGATCTCGTCTACAGAATTCGTCGTTTCGCGAGGAATCATCTGTGCCGGCACGGAATCAGGACATACTTTTCGCGCGAACTTGAGAATCCAACGATCTGAGTACTCCTCGCTCTCGTTGTTCGAAGACCGGTTACGCATCCTTCGCGCCGCATTCCAAAGCGTATTCATCGACGTTTCGCGCGATAATCCGTCCACGAATTGCCGCCAGTATCCGCGTTTCTTGGCTTTGATGAGGCTCTTGAGTTCGCGTTCAAGAGCCGAGTACGCTTCGAAATACACGGATGTTCCACGTTTCCGGAAAAGCTTAAACGCGTCGGACTTTTTACGATAAACCTCAGTGCATTGGTGGTCCCACCAAGGGGAAGGAGGTTTCCTACGCAAAGACGTTCCTGGAACCGGCCGAGTTTGAGCTCGCAGCGCGCTGTCCAAGATCAGATTGGAGAGGAAGTTATATTCCTCCAACGGTGGAAGCCCTTCTACCGACGTAAGGGCATCTTCTATCACATTCTTGAACTTGTCCAATCGATATTACATGTAAGATCGTACGCGACGTTAACGGATTCCGACGGATTGAACCCACTGGCAATCGAAATTTTGATCGGCAAGTGATCACTACCGTTGGGATCCTGGATCACATTCCACGTGCAATCCAACGATAATGAGTGAGAGCAAAGTGTGAGGTCTAATCTACTTCCATTCGAGGATGGGCCAGCCAAACGTGTTACTTCTCCATTGTTAAGAATTTTCATATTGAAGTTGTCACAGAGGTCATATATAAAAGTAGAACGGTTGTCATCATACAGTTCCCCCCAGCCTGTACCGTGGGAATTAAAATCTCCCATAATCAACCGTGGAGCAGGAAGTACTGAACATATATCTGAAAGTTGTTTTCGATTAACAACGGCTCTAGGAGGAATATAAACAGAAGCAATACAAAGGCTCTTACCTTTAATAATAGCCTGACATGCGACAACTTCAATACCTGTAAATTGTGGAAGATTCACTCTATAGAAAGAATGGCACTTTTTGATCCCCATAAGTACCCCTCCTCCACGCGAATCCTCACGATCCAGTCGAATAATGTTAAAATCATAAAAAGGAAGATCTATATCTGAAGAGAGCCAAGAAATTGCATTTATTTGCAGCCATTGAAATTATTACACAACAATTAATAAGCACTTCCGCAAACACTCGTCTACGCGCCACCACTCGTTTGCAGCAGAATAAATCCTCATCGTCCTTATACCAAGTTCGACTTCTTTGGAAGCTCATGGTCCATGCAAATCTACATTAGATACAAATTAAGATTTTTGTAAACAACGGAACTAAAACACTCCCTGCGCTTTGATCAGAGAGCGTAACGGCATCGTTGTGCAAGGTTGGTCGTGGCACATTTCAGGTATTAGAGTCAAGAAGTTCCCTCAAAAGTGCCTGAGTAAAATGCAAATACTTTCGATGAATACCCGTAGTTGCGATAGTGAAGATGTAAACCCATTTTCCCTGTTAATGTCCGGACGTGTTTACCATACATATACCTTTTTATTTGATTTTGTGTGGGGATGGGTTTTGGGTGTGTATGGGCATATGGGTGAGACGATATTAAGTTTACATTAGAATAAAGTTGAAACATTGAGAAATGTATCGCTTCAGTTTGAGCAGTACTTGACTTAGCAACCGATGAACCATTCTGATGGCC